CATTCATTTCTGAGTTTAACATGTAAGAGATTAATTATATTGCTAAACTCTATCCAAATAAAAAGATTGCAAATATACAAATGGCCAAGTGAAATACAGATAAAATAAAGATTTACGGATTGCATCTGAATGCTTTGGTTCATACAGAATCCCCACAGTGTGGAAACAGGCCATTTAATCCATCATGTCCACACTGTCCCTCAAAACAGCATCCCACCCACCTTCTACCCTATCTCTGTAACCCTGCATAGCCCTGGACACTGGGGGCAATTTATCATGGCCAATCCACCTAATCTGCACATCTTTGGATTATGGGAGGAAACGAGAGCACCCAAAGGAAAGCCATAGAGATATGTGGAGAATGTGTAAACTCCACACAGTCACCCAAGGGTGGAACCAAACCTGGGTCCCTGGCGCTGTGAAGCAGCAGTGCTAACCACTGAACCATTGTGCCACACCCCCCCGTCACTGAAGCAGTCGACTTACAGTAATGACTAGTGGATCCCTTCCTCTTAAAATCACTGTAGCTGGGTTGAAATCTTCCTGATAAAATTCTCTGTTTGCAATAAAGGAGGTTTACTGGCTAGATATCAAACCACAAACGTGGCCTGCAACTTTCTTGAGATGTTTTGGGAATGTTGGGGGAAGAGTGTGTAAGGCAATCACCTCTACTGCCCCAAGTCAGCTTGTCTGCAAATTCAAATCCAGCATTCATAGACAGCTAGGTCACATGACCTCTCTTCAGCTTGGTCAACAGCAGTTCAAAGAAATCAAGTGCAAATTCCAAAAGATTGTTTCACTATGCCCGGTACTTGGCTTTTGGTACATTGTCCTTTTGTTTTAACTCAAAATGATTAATTTTTAATTTTCCAGCAATTGATTCTTGAATAATCCAACCTCCAGTTTGATGAAATAGGAAGAACTATTTACACTTTACGTCTAGCAGGTCTCCGTGCATTTTGCATCTCTTGGGTTTACAATGCGACTAATAACGGGTGCAAATTGGCAGCTACTTCAAAACAGTATCCACTGTTCAGTAGAATTGTATTGTTTTAATGTTATTTATGTTTACATGTGATGAGCTGATGAAATTACAAATCAAAACTCAATATAAACTCATCAGCATGGCAGGTCTTTGATGTGACTGACTACACCACCTTTCTTTTAAGCCTTGCTTCACTTATTCAGCTTTGGGACTGGCTGACTGTCTCCATCCTTCCTTAGTCAAATAAAACAAACAACTATGGATGCTGGAGATCTGAAGCAAAACCAAAATTGCTGGAAAAACTCAGCAGGTCTGGCAGCATCTGTGAGAAGAAAGCAGAATTAATGTTTTGAATTGCATGTTCTAATGAAGACACTGGACACAACATGAACTCTGCTTTCTTCTCACCGATACTGCCAAACCTCCTGGCTTTTGCCAACAATTTCTGTTTTTGTTTCACTCTTCTTTACCTAGTTATAGTTAAAAATTACCTGCTATAGCTTCTATTTCCACTCCAATAATGTTGGCCCTGGATTTACATTACTACTTTAAAGAGTCATTATCCAAAAACATAATACCAGATTTCATATATATGCTGATTGTCCCATCACCATCTCACCACCACTTCCCTTCACTCCTCTTCTATCTGTGATTTGTCAAACTGTTTGTCTGACAGGCTACCGGATGAGCAGGCACGTCCTTTAATTAAATAGAAGCATTGAAAATAGGACTAGTAGGCTAATTGGCCTTTCTGACATGCTCTGCCATTCATTATGATCATGGTTGATCATTCGACTCCATACGCTGTTCCCACTTTTGCCCTATACCTTTGATCCTTTTATACCCAAGAGGTATACCTGACTCCGTTTTGAAAGCATTTGATATTTTGGCCTCAGTCGTTTTCTGTGGCAGAGAATTCCTCAGGCTTACCACCCTCTGGATGAAGAAATTTCTCGTCATCCTAAATGGCGTACCTTAAACTACCTAAATGACCTACCTAAATGACCTACATAAATGACCTATCATTAAACTGTGATCCCTGGTCATCAGAAACATCCTTCATGCTTTTAGAGTATCTGGTCCTGTAAGAATTCTACAGATTTCTATGAGATCCCACCTCATTCCTCTAAACTTCTGTGAATATAGTCATAACCAATCCAGTCTCTCTTCGTATGTCAGTCCTGCCATCCCAGGAGCTTTAGTTGCATTCTGTCCAGAGGGAGAACATCCTTCCTTGGGTAAGGAGACCAAAACTGAACTTAATTTTCAGATGTGATCTCACCAAGGCTTTGTACAATTATAGCAAGACATCCTATTCTTGTACTTGAATTCTCTCTCTATGAAGGCCAAAATACAACTTGCCTACCAAATATCAGGAAGATCTAAATCATTTTCTTTAGTCCCCACCAATTATTTAATCAAAGTAAAACTGCACTAAATCTGTCTTTTTCCCTTGCTACTATCAGACAGTTCTGAACATGGGTGTCCTATATGACATTGAGTTTTTCATGACCTCTGGATACCCTAAAATGTGCTGAGCAAGCAAGGGAGTTCTATTGAAGTGTATTCACTGTGGTAATATGAGAAATACAGCAACTAATTTACACACAAGTTTCCAAATGTTGCTTCAAAATAAATTACCAGATAATATGTATTTGGTATTGGTTAGTATAATGAGGACTCAGTAGAACTCGCTTGTCCAGCTTTGAATAGTATCATTTTACATCCACCCGAGAGGGCTATTTATTGTTTAGCTCATCTGAAATCCAACACTGCCAACAGGATAATTCTCCCTGGTCTCCACTGAAGTGTCATACTGAATTACAGGCTCAAATCTAGAGTGGGTTCTGTAGTGATTGTAACAAGGTCAACCAGGTGGACCTCATAGAAAATGCATTCCCTGATTGGGGCTGTTAATCTGGTCCAATCAGGAAACCCTGGCTGAGAGATGTGTACAAGAGTATTAGAGGCTCTGCTTACTCCTACAGCTGGCTTGTAGAAGCTGGATCAGTGTCAAGGTCTTTCTACATGTAAATAAAAGGTGATTTAGTGACAGGTTAGCGACATTTGTGGATTTATTTCATCAATGCTGTCTTCTGGTTGCCTCGTGATTATTTGATCAATAACAGTCTGTTCCCGGCCAAGGTCTGAAGAACTCTTTGCTTCTGGACCAGCTGTTTTCTAGGACTTTGTCAATCTCCTTCAACTCTTCTGATAAAGTTGAGGTCATGTCAAGGTTCGAAAGTGAAGTTGGCTGATTGAACTTTCTTAAGTGTGTTGCATTGTAGTCTAACTTACAGCATTTCTATGCTGGTGCCAATTACTCCATCTACACCACGTGGTCTTGTCTCCAAAGGGTGTAACTACTACTTCTTCAGCCACAGTAACGGTTTTGAAAAGACGGTACCAAAGTGTCCCGGTTCCTACTTGACTACAGGACCACCCCTCATGCAACTACAGGGATAGCTCAAGCAGAGTTGCTAATGGGGAGAAGAGTCCGCACCAGGTTAAATCTGATCTTCCTGGACCTTGCATCAGGAATGCCAATGTTGGACACAAGACTTGCTAAGGGAAAGAGGCAGTTTACTTCAGGGGATGAAGTTTGGTGTAGGAAGAATGACAAGGTTGACGCTAGGTCAGGTCTGGTGACGTATAAAGTTCGGGTAAGTGAAGCAGGCCTGATCAAGCACGTGGACTGTATGAAAGCTGCAAATTCGCAAACGGTGCAGGAGCCAAACATAACCCAGCTCCTCGACTGCCTCTCTGACTGTTCCGGAACCCATGGGTTCTCCCTCTCATTGAAGGTAGCTTGGAATGTGAGCTGGACACAGTGGATATTCCCACCTCGACACCTTTGCCACCTGACGAAGAGAATGAATTTCTTCTGAAATGCTCTGGGTGCAAGAGGCTAGCTACTATGCATTACACCATCCATATCAGAGGCAATGTTGGAGGAACCTGACCCAGTGCTAAAACACCCTAAGAGGAGCTACAAGAAAAGGAACTGACCTATGTCCTCGGACTCAGAAGGGGAGGGATGCAGTGATCGTAACGAGGTTAGCTAGGTGGACCTCTTAGAATATGAGTTCCCTGATTGGGGATGTTAACCTCGTTCAATCAGGGAGCCCTGGCTGATAGATAAGAACAGAAGTGTCAGACATTCTGTTTACTCTGAGAGCTGGCTCCAAGGGAGCTGGATCAGTGTCAAGGACTCTCCACATGTAAATAAAGGGTGACTTTGTGAAGGCGATACCAGCCTCTGTGGAGTTATTTCAGGTATCAAGTCTTGAACTGAATGTACTGGCTACAAATCTGATCTCTCAGATATCAAACTGGCCACAATTTCACATCACTCTGGCAGAAGAATTGAGGGAAATTAAAAAAGAAATAGCGACTAGAGTCATCATGATGTATGGGATTCTTTTTCTTTGCCTTGTTACATAGAAATCTAAAAGCAAAAACAGCAGATTACAGGACCAGTTGGCATTATCGATATCATTTGGTCAGCATGGATCAGTTTAGGCCAAGGGAAATGTCTCTGTGCTGTAGGACTCTATTTTTAATAACTCAAACAATGTGCATTACAATTAATCTGTGTAAGATAGAAACAGCACTACTGAATGAACAATTTGTAAGGGGCACGATCTCTGTCCTTCCCTTATACAGCAAAATACAACTGGGATGGAGGCAGGAGTTCCATAAGCTTGGGGCTTCTGCACCCGGCCATTGCAGGTGAACAGTACTGGTCTTCATTTAGATAGTCCTCAGTTTTGGGTCTGAGTTGGGCAAGAGGCTCCAATACTTCCAAAGACTTCTATTTTTAAAAGAAGAATCTCTTCTCCCTTACTGATAAAGTTTCCGTGATAAGTTGGCACTTGCACCCAGTAGTTTACATAAAATAAGGTGCTTTCTCATTGACATGTATGTCAAACCATTATGGCCACTCATGAAGATCCTCTTGTATGGTCTTTTAAGTGAGAGCTACAAGTGATTTTTCACACAAACAAAAATGGAATTGAGTTCATAAATGCACTTTATATTACAAAACAAATAAACGTTATTCTATCAAACAACGGTAGATTTCACATCATCAAATTAGCATTTCACTGAAGTCATCTGGGTACTCTGAATCCAATAGTACCACATAATTCATTGAGCAGGTTCGGGGATACAAAGTGACATACAAATAGCTGTATTCCCTACCCCGAGCACTGAAAAATAATATTTCCCTTAAAAACAAGTATTACATTTTGTAAACAAAATGAAAGCATATGGGATGAAATGTAAAATGCCGGCATGGATTGAGGCTTGAGTTAACAGGCAGAAAGCAGACAGTAGCCATAACTGGGTCATTCTCAGGTCAGTGGACTGTGACAAGTGGGATGTTACACAGTTCAATGCTTGCACCTCAGCTTTTCAAAACCTACATTAGTGATTTAGATATGGGGACCAATTGTAGGATTTACAAATTTACAGAGGATTAAAAACTTAGTGGGAGTGAGAGCTGTGGGGACAATGCAAAAGGATTTAGATAGGATGAGTGAGAGGGCTACAAATGTCAGATGAAATATGAAGTGGATAAGTATGAGGTTAATCACTTTGGTGGGAAGATCAAAGGTGGAGAGTATTTCTTAAAGAGGTGAGAAATTGGAAAGTGTTTTTGTCCAAAAGGGATCGGATATTCTGACAGCCAAATAGTCATTGGAGTGGTGCAGACTGAAGATGTACACTGGGAGCCTGCAGAATCCTAGACACAGCAGACTCCATGGGTATCAACCTGGAAATTGAAGATACTGTCCCTGAAGTCACTTCAGTCTTCTCTGCCATATCAAATTGCGGCTACCCATCTACCTTAATGCCACATCCGCAAGCTATCCCAATTTTCCTTTAGGTCATTAGTGACTAGAAATGTATCTAACCCTCTCAAACTAACTTAACGAATGAGTTTCCACAGCCTTCTGTTGTGCAGAATTCTAAAGATTCACCATCATTTGACAAGAAGTTCCTCCTCAACTCAGTTCTATATAGGCAGTCTTTATTCTGAGATTGTGTCTCAGAGTTCTAGATCCCACAGCAAGGTGGGGGGTTGTCCTTTCTTCATCTACTCTATTTACCCCTTTAAAAAATGTATACATTTCCATGAGGTCACCTTTAATTCTTCTAAACTCCAAGGAATACAAGCTCAGTTTCCTCAAACTCTTCCCCATGGGACAGTTCCACCAAACCAGGAATCAGTTTAATGAATCTCCACTGTCGTCCCTCTATTTCAAGTACATCCTTCCTCAGGGAAGGGGAGCAGAACTGTACACGGGACTCCAGGTATAGTCTCACCATGGTTCTATATGACTGAGTCAAGATTTCTTTGCTTTTGTACTGAAACCCACTTGTGATAAAGACTAACCTGACATTTGCATTCTGAATTGTTTGCTGCACCTGCATGTTAGCTTTCAGTGACTTTTGAACAAGGACCCTTCTTTTTTTACATGCACATAGGGTCAAATTTTGCTAAATATGTAACTCATTCTCCATCATATTTTGTACTTGAAGCAGGGCTACGCTTTGAACAGAATCTCGTTAAATGGTGTGAAATAAAGTCACTTTTGAAATGTTTGCATCACTGCCCCTTTAATATTAAATTAAGCATGTCAGCAAATGAAAACCAATATCTCATTAACAGAAACAAAATTTACACAAAAGAAATTAAACTTCTGGAAGATTCTGATCTTAAACTTAAATTATGGCAGGAAGCTGAAATGACAACGGATAACAATGACCACCAAAAAAAGGTGGGGCATTTAATTTCGACAATGATTTTATATGCAACTTGCATTAATACATGAAACATTCCAATATGAATTGCTCAATATGAACCAATATCTAATTTCCACCTCTTTGCTTGTAACCAGCAGACTATTCACAAATCAGTCTGGTGCTTTTATAATGCAAAGTAGCCAGCTGCGAAAAAAACAATTTTTTATTGCTCAATTGATAAAGCAGGAAATAAAGCTGACTATCTATTTGGCACATTATCACAATACTTTATGTATTTAAAGAATTCTCTGCTGAATAGAGAATAGGATGAATTATCTTTCATTCGTCTCATCGGGGATAAGCACTAGGAGACTTGGATCTCTACTTGCATGGAGCTGCCTGACAATTTCCTAGGTCTTCCCAGTGCCATTTGGGTCTGCATATACTAAGCCTTTAGGCTTCGCGTCAAAATTTGAACGGGATAAAAGAAGACTTTGCCTAATTTTGATGTTATGGTTGCTCGGCCAGCGACCCAGAGGCAAATGCAGGCACTAGCGCCTTTTTTCAGGATAGGCAGAAAACATTCTCATGCAAGTAGAGGTTTTGTTTTTGAATCATCTTTCCCCTTTCTTGGGAAATGGAAAGCACTTAGGATCTTAGGCTGAGGTTCTCAAGCAGCAGTCAGACACATTAACCCTCAGCAGTCCTCTGCGGTGCTCACATTTCCTCCAGCAATTACGGTCTAGAATCCAGCCAGAATTCTTCCAGGCCACAGAAATAGCTGAGAATGGGGAATAACCGGAGAAATTGACTTCTCACTTCTCTCATGTTTTAATTTGATTTTAATTGTTTGTAAATTTGTAACTTCAAAAATAAAAATCTTGCAACCCATTAGATATTCTGTCATTACTTCTGGATGACCCTGCTGCCATCTTTCCTCTCCATTTCATTTGTGTAAAAACATTCATAGAAGAAAAATATACATTATAACGTTCTTTTCCTGGGACGTTGGTATGGCTATATTTTGCCGGAGCTGTCCAGCATTGAGAGACAGTGTAAACAGGATAGTTCTAATTCTTAATTATTATCAAAAATGTTTAAAAGGTATAAACAGGATGTATCAGTGTAAATGAGGTATTCTATACAAAGATAGGAAGTGGTATGCCACACTGAAATGTTATGTTTGTGTCAAGTATGTTTATCTGAAATAACCAGCATTTACAAGGCTGATTTTAGACACAAGGCTTCACACTCCTCATGGGTGTCAAATCTGTTCTTGTTTCCTCCACAGCCACCGTACCAAAACTTCTTGCAGACTCGTGAACTTTTATCAAAGTACCATTTTAGGTTGTAGTTGTAACAATCTCCTTCATCAAGATTCAGCATGCACTCATCTAGAATGGAAGAAAAAGAAAGAATGAATTGTATTTATGTAGCACCTTTCCTGATCAGCAAACATTCAAAAGTGCTTTGCAATCAATGAAGTCCATTTGCAGTCACTGTTGTAATGTAGGAGATATGGCATCCAATTTGCATAAATTAAGCTCCCACCAACATCATTGTGATAATGACCAGATAATTTGCTCTGGTGAGGTTGATTGACATGCTATTGCCAGGAAGGAATAAAGCAGTCTAATTAAATTAGTTACTTAATGTTAATGTAACTAATTAAGCTATATTAATAAAGTTGTCCTTCTGGATTGGATTGGATTAAATGAGCAGAATATTTTCATTGCAAATAGGAGCAATGGAATGAAATGGAATATATAAATGTTTCCATTTAGCAATCTTTATGTATTATCCTGTGTAGTGAGGACTGAAAGATGTTAGGAGCTGGATTTTCTCCTAAGATCCTATCCAAAATCAGCTTAAATATAGTAGCTGAAAAGTGGGACAATGATCATTTGAGCATGATCTACCAGTAATTCCCCACCATTAATTTCATTTTCCCAGCTACTTCTTTCTCTCCAACCACATACAAATCCTGACATGAGGTTCAAACTTCTCAGTAAATTTTCCTGACAGTTGCTCATTTCTCAGCAGAGCACTTTCTTTATAGAACAGAATCCCTAGAGTGTGGAAACAGGCCCTTCGGCCCAACAAGTCCACACCCAGACCCATTCCCCTATAACACACCTAATCTGCATACCCCTGAACACTATGGGCAATTTAGCATGGCCAATCCACCTAGCCTGCACATCTTTGGACTGTGGAAGGAAACCAGAGCACCCGGAGGAAACCCACACAGACACAGGGAGAATGTGCAAACTCCACACAGACAGTCGCCCAAGGTTGGAATCGAACCCGGGTCCCTGGTGCTGTGAGGCAGCAGTGCTAACCACTGAGCTACTATGCCGCCCTGTAGTTTACACTTTTCCCAATATGGCTGGAAATATGTAGATAATCCAGGAGTACCATATATACAACAAGACTCCGATTTTATCTCAGCACCCAAGTTAGCATCAGCACACTGGTTTGAGCAGGTCAGTGCAGATGGCATTGCCAGAGTGAGGTCTGGGCTGTTTTAATTCCTTGCCACATATTAAATTTTCAGATTAAGCTCTCAGTTGAAGTTAGCAGAACTGACACAGTGCGTGCAGTTTGGAAAAGAAAGTTATGTAACCTGAGTTAGATAAAGACTGAGGAAGAAGGTCTGAGGCAATCACAGGAACAGACAGGGAAGCGTGGGGCTGTAAGGCCATTTTACCTTTATTTTTTCAGAATAGGAGACATCCATGCATTTTGGAAATGTTTTACATTTACTTATACTCACTTGGTTGTACAGAACTTGAGTTTCGCTAAAGGGACTTGTCGAATTTCAGAGTTGAGGGGTAAGTGACAGCCTTTGACATCAAGGCTGCATTCAACTAAGCATGGTATCAAGAAGCCTTAGAAAAACTGGAATCAGTGGGTATTGGGGGCAAACTCTCCACTGGTTACAGACATATCTGGCACATAGGAACAAAAATAAAACAAAGAACTGCGGATGCTGGGAATTGGAAACAGAATCAGAAATTGGTGGAAAAACTCAGCAGGTCACTTATAATCCATGGAGAGAATGCAGAGTTAATGTTTTGGGTTTGGTGAGTTCCGAACAAGTGTCATCGGATCCAAAATGTTAACCTTGCTTTTTCTCCTGCTGATTTTTGATTCTGATTCCAGCCATTTCTGATTTTGTTTCTGGATGGTAGGGCTCTGGGATGTTTGCCGAACAGGAGTAGGCCATTCGGCCCTTTGAACCATCTCTGCCATTCAACATGATTTAGCTAAATGATTTGGATGTGAATATAGGAAGCATGGTTAGTAAATTTACAGATGACACCAAACTAGGTGGTGTAGTGGACAGTGAAGAAGGTTATCTCAGAGTACAACGGGACCTTGGCCAGCTGGGCCAATGGGCTGTAGGGTGGCAGATGAGTTTTAATTTAGATAAATGTGTTACATTTTGGAAAGGCAAATCAGGACAGGACTTATCCACTTAATGGTAGGACCCTGGGGAGTGTTGCCGAACAAAGAGATCTAGAAGTGCAGCTGCATAGTTGCTTGAAAGTAGAGTCGCAAGTAGACCGGGAATGAAGAAGGTTTTTGACACACTTGCCTTCATTAGTCAGAACATTGAGTGTAGGAGTTGGGATGTCATGTTGTGACTGTACAGGGCATTAGTGCGGCCACTTTTGGAATATTGCATACAATTCAGGAGGCCCTTCTACAGGAAGGATGTTGTTAAACTTGAGAGGATTCATAAAAATATTTATAAGGATGTTGCTGGGACTGGAGGGTTAGAGTTATAGGGAAAGGCTGAACACGCTGGGGCTATTTTCCCTGGAGTGTCGGAGGCTGAGGGGTGACCTTATAGAGGCTTATAAAATCATAAGGGGCGTGGACAGGGTGAATAGCCTAGGGTGGGGGAGTCCAAAACTGGGTGGCATAGGTTTACGGAGAGAGGGGAAAGATTTAAAAAGGGACCTGACGGGTAACTTTTTCACACAGAGGGTGGTGTGTGTATGGAATGAGCTGCCAGAGGAAACAGTGGAGATGGGTACAATTACATCATTTAAAAGGCATCTGGATGGATATATAATAGGAAGGATTTAGAGGAATATGGGCCAAATGCTAGCAAATGGGCCTAGATCGGATTGGGATATCTGGTTGGCGCAGACGAGTTGGACTGAAAGGGCTCTTTCCATGCTGTATGACTCTATGGCATAAGAAGATGAATGTGGTTGCTGGAGGTCAGTCATCTCAGCTCCATGACGTCTCTGAATGAGTTATAGCGTCATAGAGTCAGAGAGTCATACAGCACAGAAACAGACACTTTGGTCCAACCCGTCCACGCTGACCATAATCCTAACTAAACTAATCCCACCTGTCTGCGCTTGGCCCATATCCCTCCTAACATTTCTTATTCATGTACTTATCCAAATATCTTTCAAATGTTGTAACTGTATCCACATCCACCATTTCCTCTGGAAGTTCATTCCACACACAAACCACTGTCTGTGTAAAAACGTTGCCCCTCATGTCCTTTCTGAATCTTTCTCCTCTCACCTTAAAAATATGCCCTCTAGTCTTGAAATCCCACCCCCACAGGAAAAAGACACTTACCGTTCACCTTACTTATACCTCTCATGACTTTAAAAACCTCTATAAGGTCACCCGCTCAACCTCCACCTTCAGCTGCTTCATCAATAACCTTCCTTCCATCATAAGGTCAGAACTGGGGATGTTCACTGATGATTGTACAATGTTCAGCAGCATTCATGACTCCATGTCAAATGCAAAATGTGCTGGACAATATTCAGGCTTCGACTGAAAAGTGACAAGTAACATTGGTGCCACACAAATACCCAACCATCTCCAGTCAATCTAACTACTGTCCCTTCACATTCAATGGCGTCACCATCACTGATATCCCAATGAACAATATCCTTGGTATTACTATTGACCTGAAACTCAGCTAGGCTCACCATATAAACACAATGGCTGCAAGGGCAGATCAGACCCTAAGAATATTACAGTGAGTAATTCACCTCTTGATTCCCCAAAGCCTGTCCACTTATCTACAAGTCACAAGTCAGGAGCGTGATGGAATACTCCCCAATTACTTGGATGGGTGCAGCTCCAACAACACTTAAGAAGCTTGACACCAAGCAGGACACAGCAGCCCCCACATTTGGCACCATTTCCACAACCTCCACTACCAATGAGGTGGCACAGAGGCTCAGTGGTTAGCACTGCTGCCTCAAAGCACCAGGGACCCAGGTTCGATTCCAGCCTTGGGTGACTGTCTGTGTGGAATTTGCACATTCTCCCCGTGTCTGCGTGGGTTTCCCCCGGGTGCTCTGGTTTCCTCCCACAGACCAAAAAATGTGCAGGTTAGGTGAATTGGCCATGCTAAATTGCCCGTAGTGTTCAGGGGTGTGTAGATTCGGTAGGTTATAGGGGGATGGGTCTGGGTGGGATGGTCTGAGGTTCGGTGTGGACTTGTTGGGCCAAAGGGCCTGTTTCCATACTGTAGGGATTCTATGATTCAATGCTCAGTGGCAGCAGTGTGTATATCTCAAGATGTACTGCAGAAACTCACCAAGGTTCATCACAGAGCAGCTTCCAAACCTACAACCACTTCCACCTAGAAGGACAAACGCAGCAGATATCTGGGAACAACATGAGCTGCAAGCTCCCATCCAAGCCACTCATCATTATGACTTGGAAGTATGTCACTGGTGCTGGATCAAAGTCCTGGAATTCCCTCCATAAGGACATTGTGGGTCAACCTACAGCTCATGGAATGCAGCAGTTCAGGAAGGCAGCTCACCACCACCTGCTCAAGGAAACTAGGGACGGGCTATAAATGCTGGTCAGCCAGTGATGCCTATGTCCCATGAGTGAATATAGAAAATACTGTGTCTCTGTCTTGAGAGAGCAGCCCGATAGTCTGTTAAAGCTATGGTGATTCAATCTCTACCTTTTACATTTATTTACACACAGAATCTGTCCTCTGCAAACAGGAAGAACACATCCACACCCTGTATCTTTTTCAACTGAACAAAAGTGTGTGGGTTGCCATTTCCTCCTGCATTCCCTCTGGGCAAATCTTACTCAATCAGATTTGTCTTGCTTAGTTTGAATTTAAACAAAAGCTCTTGACAGTTCACTGCTCCCTTGTGCATTCCCCTCGGCAATGCCTCTACCAATCAGAGATCATTTGTCAACCAATCACACCCTCTTCTCACTGCAATAAAGATTGTTGTTTCCTTTCAGATTTGGTATTCTTGTGATTCTGTCCTGATGAATGTATGCTTTCAGCACATTTTTTTCAGTAAACATTATTTAATGCTGACCCAAAACACATAGGGCCAATTTTAATCCAGTAGGGATAGGGCACCTGCTATTTGAAATGGCCTCCACAAACTTAATTTGGATAGGATATACAGCACGGTAGCAGGTCGTTCAGCCCATCTAGTCTATCCAATGTTGGTGGTCCACTCAAGTATCTTCCCATTTTATCTCACCCAAATCTACCATCATACCATCTATCTCTTTCTTCCTCAATGTATGTTTAGCCTCTCCTTAAATACTGTGCACTTCAACTACACTTTGTGATATTGAGTTCGACATTCTTATTATTCCTTCAATAAAGATTTTTCTTCTAAATTCACCATTCGATCACTGACACATTTCAAATCTATTCTCATCAGCCAGTCGTTTAACTAGGGTTTTTTTTTAGAGTGATCACACGTCTTGCTTAACTCAGTCAGGAGCATCATTCATCCAAGCAAACTGGTTCTAGGTGTCTTGAGGGTCATATTTTAACTAAGACAACACATCAGGGAAGCATCGAAGATCCTAAAAGAAAGATTTTATGCAGCATTGTTCCTCCAGGCTTCACAAATGAAGTCTGAGCTTCAGTTGCCAAAGGCTCCCTCCTGTCCTCCCATCCAGAAGACCTGGATAGACACCACCTACCCAGGCACTTACTATTGTGTGAGAAATGACCTCTGAGCAATCAATCTTTCCTTGCTGGCAATTGTCCATTTGTAGTGGGCAATTGGTGACTAAGATCTGGGAGGTCAAATGGCCTCATCTTTAAATTGAAGCTCTCATCCCTCAACTTTCCAAAAACCATTCCTGAATTAACCACCCAGCCCCAATAGAAATGTGTTGGTCTGCACTTACCATAAATATTGGTATCATCTTTCTGTTCTTCAAAATCTTGCAAAGTGTTCAAGCTGTGATGAAGAAGTAATGCATAAATGATTGAAGGAAAAATACAATCTGTATTCAAAGCTTGATAGCAGATGTCTTCAAAACTTACGGCGTAACAGGAAATATTTCTGCTTCTTCTGCACTGTCAGAATTTATTCCTTCACATTCCTTCTTTAGAGATGGAGGTGGATAGTTGTTGATTCCAGCTATAAAAATGAATGAAATAGTTTAAGCCTTTGTAGAATCACAGCAAAACACAGATTCACAGTAATATAAAATGCAACAAATTGTGTGTAATTTTGATAAAGGAATTTTTCAATTAATGTCAGCGTGTAATTGAACTATTTGGGTTCTTCTGGTGCAGTGGCAGTGTCCCTATTTCTGAAGGAGAAGACCCAGTTCAAGTCCCACCTGCTCTGGAGGTATGTCATAATATGTCTGAACAGTTTGATTTTAGAATAATTATAATTGAATTACTAAGGCTCTTGTTGCACAATGGTAACGGCCCTACCTCCAGGACAGAATGCCCAGGCTCAAGTCCTACCTGACTCAGTTATGAAGAGAGTTTGGACAGATGGGGATCATTTGCCTACAAGCAGAGGAGATTGAGGGGGGTGACAGAGATCAATGACCAGTGAATATAGATTTAAGGTAAGGGGCTGGAGGTTAAGCCGAGATGTGAGGAAAGACCTTTTCACTTAGTGGGTGCTGGGAATCTGGCCCTCACTGCCTGTAAGGGTGGTAGAGGGAGAAACTTTCATAACATTGAAGAAGTATTTACACGTACACTTGCAATGCCAAGACATACAAGGCCAAATGATGGAAAATGGGATTAAAATAGCTAGGTGGCTTTTTTTTTGACCAGCATGGAGATGATGGGCTGTAGATCTAGAATCCCCTACAGTGTGAACATGGGCCATTCAGCCTACCCCAGGCCTCTAAAGAGCATCCCACCCAGACCCACCTCCCCCTACCCTAACTCTGTACTTCTTCTGGCTAATCCACCTGGCCCGTACATCACCAGACATTGTAGGCAATTTAGCATGGCCAATCCATGTAACCCGCACATCTACAAGCTGTGGGAAGAAACCAACGCACCTGGAAGAAACCCATGTGGACAGAGGGAGAATATGCAAACTCCACACAGACAGTCACCTGAGGGTGGAATTGAACCCAGGTCCCTGGGGTTGTGAGGCAGCAGTGCCAACCACTGGGCCACTGAAAAACCCATCTGTATGGCTCTGAAGGTGCATCATTACATGTGCAAACAGGTTGATTAAAAAGGCCTGTAATTCAATACCTTAGCTCACTCAGTTATCCTCCATTAGCACTGCACACACAAGTAATTAGCTAACACGAACAATCACAAACAAATGGTTTGGTGGAGAAATTTGATTGGCACTTAAAGAATAATTACCCATGGATGTGGATACCTCTTTATCAGTCATTTTTTAAATTTTATCTTTCCTGATTTGTTGGAAAAATAAGAATTCCATATGCTCGAAAGTGATTCAGGAAGAACAAATGATAGTTGCAAGATCTTGCAAGCAAACCACCCATCAATTGAAATGGGTAGAGGGAAGTTTTAAGATTATGCATAGATTAATGATCCGTGGCTAAGATATAAGTTCAATGGCCTCCTTTTTTGTAGACATTTTTGCCACTTGTATCATTTCTTTTATTCTAAAGAAAATAAGAACCTATGTTGCTGAACCTCTGAATATTGAAAATATGAAACATGAGCTCTTTATGAAGGCCCTGTGCTTATGAATGCTTTTCCTACACTGCATGAGAAATCATGGCCCTATCACAGGTACTACTTTGGAATTTCGAAAGAGAGTACACAGCAGAAAGCAGAGATGGGACTAAGAGATTTGTGTGTAGCTGGGAAGACTCTGTAGACTTCCTCAAATGGCAGGCAGGACCTGGACGCAGAAGTCCCAATTTCATTTTTGACAGGCGCAATTTATTTTTTAAGGAAGAAATATGTGTGTGGTTCACATTGGAGTGAACCTTAAATTTAGCGAGGGCCGTTTGAACTAAGTGCTATGTTCAAACTGACCCTATTTTGGTTCATTCCAGGTGTTTAACCCATCTTGTGAAAATCTTGAATTGATAGAATAGATGTGAATGCTCTTTGAAGGGTAGATAATGTTTTTATCATTCATGATCTGAACTTTTGTTTCAAATGCTATACCCTTCAAACTTTAAAAAACATATCTGCAACTGCCAGTGAGAATTAAAGAAAACCCTTTGTTGAAGGCTGTGATTGACAAGTGTAGGTTAGAAAAGGAAAAGCCATGGCTGGCTATGCAGTTTCAACAGAGCTCTTTGATAACATTTTCCCAAGGGCTATCATTATGTCATTGAGGTGAATATTACATACTTCTGCTGGATGTGTTTTCAGCAGAAAGCACATAATATAAGTCAGGCGGCAACCCAATATCTGCTCAGCCATCATTGAGCTCATCCCCATAACACAGAGGGTTGCTGGGCACTGAAATACAGTACCCACCTACCATATGCGAATAATAATAATAAATATTAAGGATCAGTCTTCATAAAGACTGGTAAGTTAGCTATGGGACTCTTCCATAAACCCAGGCCAAAACCCACATGCCACTAGTTTAAAATCCAAACTCTAAACAAAATGAAAATCACACATTTACATCACTCTGCTTATACTAGAAAACCCACCCTTGCACCCCATTCTGCCACCTCCCTGAGATGATTAATAATCCCCATCCAAAGCCCCTCAGTTGACCTCACTTCAGAATCCATTATGTCTCCTTCATTGGCCTGCTTGCAATCCTGGCAGCACTTTTATAGAGCTCCTGCTGGGACTGCAAGAGCGCTGGTTACTCAAATTGGCTGGTAATGCCAGAAGGTGGTAACCAGGGGTGAAAATCTCGCTATCCACCACTTTAGCCTGTCTGAAGTCCATTATGGCTATGGGGTAGGCATCATCTGGGCCTGGTGACCAGCTACTGTCTTTTCTTCTGCAGTGGGCAAGCCATCTGCTCCCCTGTAGTGTTCTGCCTATGACATATGTTCAGCTGAATCTAAAAAGCTATAGTTACCTCAGTAGTAACTGAGTTCTCAGTTCACAGTTTGATTAACAACTTAAAGTCACTTTCAAAGCGTTAGGTTTATACATCAGAATTTATTTCATAATTGTACATGTAGGGGTGAAAGTTTTATTAGGTAATTAGAAGTTTATTCCTGTCCATATGGTTCATGAGATTTCCCTCTGTTGGACACTGGGTGAGCGATTATGGAGAGACCCATGGAGATAATGAGGTGCAATAGGAAAGGGATGGGAAGGCATGAGTTGGAATACAGGGTATGAAGGGACTATGATTGGAGGATAAGGGGCTGTTATGGGCCGAGGGAAGTTGATGAGGCCTACCAGCATAAGAACTTCAAAAAAATACTTGGATGTAGTCTGAGAGCTGAGGTAAGCCTTCTAACCAGCTACAGTACTTGCCTACTCCCATGCTTCCTATGCTGTGCTTTCATGATCGACTGGCACCACTCTATCTCGTACCTACACCTCTGTATGAAAATTATACAATTTAGGTTACCGGTTCAACTGATGTGTGACCCAAGCTACTTGCTTCATTAGCTAAATTCTGGCCATGAGGCTATATTGAACAATCAGGGAATGCCTAAGAAGCTCTGCAACTGCTCCAAAGCACTACATGTTGGAACAAGGCCGAACGAGTAAGTTTTGACCTTGCATCTGGGAACTCCCAGGTGATGCTAAGACTCACTGTGCTCAGGAAGTTAACTTCCTTAAGGCTGTCATGTAGAAACTCTGATTTTTCCTATAGGAATTTCAGATTGGTTCAGTTATCCCTGTTTTCACTTATTTCCAGATCTTGTAACAACAATTATGTCAATTATCTATGTCTCATTTTGGCAATCAGTGTTTTGGTATTTTGTTCCACAAGTGTATATTTGCTGACATAAAGTCAGTATGAACCAAATCCTTTTCCCCTCAGCACCACAAAGTATGTTCCAACTCAAGAATAAAAATGTAGTTGTTCCATATAGTGAATTCAAACTCAAAATTCCCCTAAAATTCTGTCAGGGCCGAAGCCTTAAGAGTGATGGTGAAGCCTGGTGTGCCCAACGGAGGTCAGCAGCAACGGTCAGTGGCTGTGGCGACTGGCAAACACAGACATTTCTTAGCCCAGTGTGGGTGAAAGCATGCCCAGCACAGGGAAGAGTGAGCCCTCTTGGGGAAAGCCCAGCTTGGAGCATCTGCAGGCCCAAGGCTTAAGAAAGACTATAATGTTTGACTTTTTAACTTTATTTCTTTGATCTTCTACTTTTATACTAAAAAAACTATAACACTGAACTTTTTAACTTACTTTTTTCTACTTCTGTAACTAAGATTTTGTACTTAGGTACTTTGTACCTAAGATGGTGCCGTGTGTGGTAACACTGTACACTTTTCACTGTACTCTTGTACCTCGTACTTGAGTACACATGACAATAAAACCTAAATCTAAATCTGCTTACTTGCTGTATGCAGTAACTATTTTCATTACGTGCAGCAATATTCATGTAGAACAGTAAAGTGGGGAGATGAAAGAATGAAGAGAGGTTATCAACGAATTAGGAAAGCAAGATGGGAAATTAATGGGAATGAAGTGATCAGAAAGGGAGACCTGATGGCATTACAGAAATAATGGGGCAGCACAGTGGTTCAGTGGCTAGCACTGCTGCCTCACAGCAGCAGGGACATGGGTTCGATTCCACCCTCAGGCGATTGTGTGGAGTTTGCACATTCTCCCCATGTCTGTGTTGGTTTCCTCCCACAGTCCAAAGATGTGCAGGCTAGGTGGATTGGCCATACTAAATTGCCCAACTGTTCAGGGATGTGTAGATTAGGTGGCTTATAGGGGGATGGGTCTGTGTGGGATGCTCTGAGGGTCGGTGTAAACTTGTTGGGCCAAAGGGCCTGTTTCCACACTGTAGGGATTCTAAGATATAATGAAAGGGAGATGGGTGACAATGAAGGGAGAGCATGGGAAGGGAGAGAATAATTGATGAAGTGGAGAGGAAATGTCAACAAGAACTGGGGATAAGGAGCAATACACATGTCTCACAAGACAGCCCAGAAGTATTTACAAATATCTAAATATAATGTAATTTTTTTTTCATCGCTGGAAGGCCATACTGAGCAGAATTTCTTCTC